CTCGTATTAAAGAATCTTAAGAATATTTGAGGGCTCTGTAGATTTTTACAGCAGATTGACTTTTCTGTTTTAATTGCGTAAATTGCATCCAAGTGCCTTTGGGACATTGGCCCCCAAGGTGATCCATTCCCTTTATGAAGTTTAAGTGATGTGAATTGGACTGACTTTTCCTACTTTTGTATCTTTGCTCAGTGGATTAGATGCTTCCTGGTTTATTTTTTCCTCTCATGCTTCCCAAAGGAAAAAAATTACCTGAGAAACTAAGTAAAACATGAAGCAGAACTTATAAATGTTATGCTAATAGAAAAAGATGGAATAATCTAACATTGTATTAAAAGAAAAAAACAGCCACAAATCCTTAAGCTATGATGACTGTAAAATATTTTTGAAAACATGGGTATCTGCCCTCTAGGAACATAATTGCAGTGGAAAAAGTAAAAAAAAGATAAGCCTCTGTTCTCAGTGATACTGGTTTGGGGCAAAACTGCAAATAATTCACATATAAACAGATAAAACCAGAACTTGTTACCTGGTGAAAAATTCTACTAGTAAAAGAAAAAAAGCAGCTTCTTCTTGTCCTTTCTCTGGAGCAGAGCCCGGGTCCCCTGGCTGTCCCCTCCTGTCAGGAGTTGTGCAGAGCCACAAGGTCCCAAATGATCCCCTTTGCTCCAGGCTGAGCCCCTTTCCAGCTCCCCCAGGATTCTCCAGACCCTGCCCTGGAGGCTCCAGCCCCTCACTGTCTTTACTGAAGGATGGCACGAATTTGGGGATCCTCCAGGAAGAAATGCGCTGTGTGAATTTCTTGTTCATTATACAGAGCAGTGTTTCTGAAACGAGTGTTTTTCCCTTGTAGCTTGTGATCGATGGTCTGTTCTTCCTCGCCCGGGTCTCCATCACGATGTGAACAGGTTTGGACACTCTGCTGTGCTGTATAACAGGTGAGCAGGGAGAATGTGTTGGTTTTACTTGGCCCAGTTTTTGGAGGTGGGGGGGCCAAAAAGATGGCGCCTGTGAGAAGCTTCTGGAGGCTTCCACCATGTCCATCATCCTCAGAGCCAACAACAATTGGCTCTGCTGGACATGGTGGAAGCCTCCAGAAGCTTCTCACAGGCGCCATCTTTTTGGCCCCCCCACCTCCAAAAACTGGGCCAAGTAAAACCAACACAGAGGCTTACTTCATTTTTCAAGAATTTGATTTTTGTTTCATTTTTTTAATATATGTTTCTGTTTTTCATCTGTTTCGTAATTGTGCATTTCAAATGATTTCACATTTATTGCTTAGCTGCATTGGCAGCATTTATCTGCAAATCTGAATTTCCCTCAAGCTTTTTAAATTTGTCCATGTTTCACTTTACTCACCTTATCCTGTGGGGCTGCTCTTCCCCGGGCACGTGATGTCTGGTATTTGGGTGAAATCTTCAGTGAGATTTCAGCTGTTAAGCCTTACACACTGTAGTGATATCCCTGCTTCCAGATGATCAGTTGTTACTTAATCAGTGGAACCGAGTTTGAGAAAATTTATTTCGTATGAGTCCTAAAATAGAATGAAAATAGTATTAAAAATACTTATTACTGAAACAAAGCTTCTCTTTTCAGTTGCCTTGACCCTTCTACACTTTATTTTAAAGGTGCATTGACAAATACAGAGGCACAGAATATTTTTGGGTGACATTTTAATGTAACTACTAAAATTTTATGTTTTGCCTGAAGCAGTTGTGATACTGAAGAAAGCTTATAATCCCCCATACCTCTCCCTACAAAATATTTGTTTTGGGTTTTTTTTAGTTGACACAATGACTCTGCTCAGTTGTTACCAGCCATGCGAAGTGTGGTTTTCTGACAGAGGTGTAGAGAGAGTGGCAGCACTGAATTGTTTTGTCATGGTTTCTGAACTCCGGTTTAATGCTGTTATACCACCTCCCCAAACTTTATCCTTCCTCTGTGTGGATCCTTCCTCGACATAGTGGATTACAGGAAGATCACACATTTTTGCAACATTTCATGTATAAACACATTGATCGGGTGCCCCCGAAAGTTTTGGCTGAAGGGGGAATGTTGGTTGATGACTTTGAATAGCTTTGACTCTGTGTTGAGTCTCTCTGGCTTCCCTGAAACAGTGGAATTTGACTGACCTTTGCTTTAGTGCCTCCCTTAACCAAGAGCTATTTATTTGGATTTATATATGCTGGCATGTAATAAAACACTTCCCCCAGATCTTAAATCCCATTTACCTGGAGCACTGCTCAGTCCATGAAAACAGCTGCAAGTTTTTCTCTCTTTGCTTCCATGTTGTCCAGCACGATGTATGTATTTGGAGGCTTCAACAGCCTCCTCCTGAGTGACATCCTGAAGTTCACACCTGCAAGATGTGAGGCTTTTGGCAACGAGACCTCCTGCCTGCGAGCAGGTCCTGGCATCAGGTGCGTGTGGAGTCTCAACCCTGCCCGCTGCATCCCCTGGGAAAATGCAACAATGGAGCAGCAGCAAAAAGTCTTTGAAGGCTGTCCTCCCAAGCCAGGTATGTGTCACACTCTTTCTGTTCCCTTTTCTGAAGGGTGTGCAGGGTCTTTTTTCCAAATTCTGTCATGTGTTAATTGTGTGCCATTACAAAGTCAGGCTTTAGATGGGGGATATGGTTGTGCTTTCACATGTCCTGGGATCTCTTCATCTAACCAAGTGTCATGGAGATCTGGAGATGTTTCTATCTCTTGCTCCTAAAGCTGCTTGTTCATGAGATCTTTTTCCTACCCTGCTTCTTGGACTTACTTTTCTATCCCAAGCAACCATCACCAGCAAGGAACGAGGCCTGGACCACCATTCTGTAAACGTTTGCTTCAGTTGACCTCATGAGAGCTAGGAAATTGCTGATGAGCACTGCAGGGCAAGCAAGGGCATCTGGATCTGATGGAGTTATCCTGTATCTTCGAAAGGGACAGGACGAATACTGCTTTAGGAAAAGTTACTTTATTTTTTTGGCAGGGGGTTGGAATCAGATGATCTTTAAGGTTCCTTTCGACTCAAACCAAAGAATTCTGGGATTCTATGATTTTATGTGTAGAGGGAGACGAACTGAATGGATGTTTTAAGGTCTGATTCCTGAATTTTCCCTTAGGATAATTTTAAACAACTTCATCCAGATGCATTTATTGCTCTGAATTACTTATACAACCCTTGATTCTGGAACAGATGTGCAGCCTTTAATTATTAAATAGAAACTGATGTAATGGGACATTGCTTTGCTGGGGTCTCAATATACAATAGATTTTCACAAAACACAGACAATAAATAATTAGAAAGGTGAATGGAAAGTTCAAACTTTGCATGAAAATGCTATACTTGAAGGCCAGGCTTGCAGTAAGATGGGCCTGTGGTGGGAGAGGGCTACTGTCCTTATGGAATATCCTCTCGCATAATTTCCCTGGGCATTTATGTGTCTTCGTTCATGTGCTTCCATGTCTTGGTGCATTATTTTCTGGTGGTGTGTTTTAAGGCTCTTTGGGCACTAAAAATGATTGCTGCTGTGAATAAAAGCAATTTTCTATCAGTTCACAGACATGAAAGTACCTGATTTTAGTTGCTAACAGGAAATCTACAGGCACTGGTATTTGGTTGTATCTTTTGCTGTAAATAATCAAGTTCTTAGAGCTCTGTCAGGAAATGCCTGTTTTTGGTCATGCAGGTTTTTTTCTTTAATAGTTGTAGACAATGAAAAATGTGATCAGATTACAGACTGCTACAGCTGTACAGCCAACACAAACAGCTGTCAGTGGTGTTCTGACCAGTGTATCCCAGCGCACAACAACTGCACAGAGGAACAGGTAATGGCTCTAAACACTTCCTTAGTTTAAATTTAGCCTTTGGAATAGCAAATGTTTTCATCTGTCACTGTTAGGAACCCTGTTTTGTTACTCCCAGTGCACGTCTAGCTCAAAAGTGCTGCATGCTTGGATTTTTTCAGTCTGATCCAAGGGTTTTGCATGGTATTTTCCAATAAATTTAGGAGGATGTCTGTGGGCCAGAGAAGAGGTGGAGGTGGAGGTTTTACCATGGTTAATCACATTTTGGGTTTGATATCAATAGGGCTTTCCCTAGAGAAAACAAAATAACCCTCCTGTAAAGGCTTTGGTAAGGAAAACAATCAGGTGGTGTTTTGGGGGAATGTCTCAGATAGCCAGTCCAGGCTGTGCCCTGTGCCATAGCTTTTGGATGCACAAATTGCTCTGTAGAGCTGAACTGTGATATTTAGTGTTGTAATTGTGGCTGTTATAAACCCACATTGGTTGGATATGGGAGAAAGCCTCACCTGTGCTATTTATTTTAGGTTCCTGTTACTCTCTATGACAATTGTCCTAAGGATAATCCTGCTTATTACTGTAGCAAAAAGACAAGTTGTAAAAGCTGTGCCATGGATCAAAACTGTCAGTGGGAACCCAGAAATCAGGAGTGCATTGCTTTACCAGGTAGGTACTGGTGATATAACCCAAATTCACCCAGTCCAAAAGTTGTTGGGTTGATTTTTTAATTATTTTTGTTGTTTTTACCCCCAAATCTGTAATTTTAGTGTTAAGCTGGAGTAAATAATGTTGTTTAATCATACCAGCTTTGGTATGAAACTTAATTTGTTGTAAATCCAGCAAGTCTGCTGGAATATTTTTCAGTCCCAGTTGTCTGAAGAGGGCTGTGATCACTCGTATAATTATTAGGTTGCATTTCATCTCTCCCTTTTCATTTGATAAAAGCTATTGATAATAGACATCTGCAAGATAGTAGATCTAATAATGCATGCTATTTAATTTCGGAACTAAAATTGTGCAAAGGCATAATGGCACATACTAGACCAATGAGGCAAATAACACCTGAAGTGTTTAAGGAGCATTTGCCTGTTGGAGTGTTTCCAGTGGAGCTCACAGGAGCTGGTTATTAGCGCCTTGTAGTAAATTTTTTTTTATCCCAATGACTGGGAGAGAAATACAGGATCTTCAGTGATTAACATTTGCAGGTAATAAAATACAGAGAAAAGGGGAAAAAACCATTAGACAGGACATTTTAATGGACAGGGAAAGTCTTCCCCTAGGAACCAATAGGTCTGGAAATGTCCAGGTCTGGTGTTTGCTAATCAGCAAGCGTTAAAACCTGAGGAGACCTTGAAGAAGAGTGATGAGAGTGAGGAAAACATCCTTTAGAGAGATGGATAAAGAGTTTGGTCTGTTTCATTTGATGTAGAAAAGGGGATGATTGATCATATGTGTAAAAAGTTCATTTGAAAAATTGACACTTGAGAGTTTTTTATCTGTTAAGTCTGAATTCACACTGGAAGTGCCTGTTATTTCTGTAAGGGAAATAATCACAAAGTGTAAGGARTTCTTCAGTAGTGGGTTTGTGCTCAAGATGTGGCAGGGATTAGTCCTGGAAGTTCATGCTGTGGACAGGATTAGCACAACAACCCTCTCCTGCCAAAAGGTCCCCTGACAACTGTGGATGAATAAGCGGCTTTAAGGCATCAACAAAATACAAGTTTGGTTTATTTTCCTCTTTCTCTGATGACAAGTTTGTTATTCAACATTGTAATAAGTGCTTTGATTATGTGCTGCAGATAACTAAAGGCTGATGTCAGACTTCAGCTCCCCTGAACAGATTTTCTTCTTCTCCAGTATTATTATGCATCAATATTTCTGAGCACACCACTAAGTCACACTGGTTTGGGATGGGGCTGTCAGTATTTTTTAGTGGAAGGGTTCATGGAATCATTAAGGTGGGAAAAATACCTCCAAGATCATCATTATCAAGTTCAACCTTTGTCCGAACCTCACCATGCCCCCTAAGCCACAACACCAAGGGCCACATCTGCTCGTTTTCTGAACACATCCAGGGGTGGGGACTCCACCACTGACCTGGGCAACTCCTTCCAATGCTTGGCAACACTTCCAGAAAAGAAATTTTCCCTATCACACAGCCTAAACCTTCCCTGGCACAACTTGACGGCATTTCCCCTCGTTCCTTGTGAGCAGAGCCCGACCCCCCCCGCTGTCCCCTCCTGTCAGGAGTTGTGCAGAGCCACAAGGTCCCAAATGATCCCCTTTGCTCCAGGCTGAGCCCCTTTCCAGCTCCCTCAGCCGCTGCTGGGGCTCCGTTCCCTGCCCTGGACTGGCTCCAGCCCCTCTGGGTCTCTCCTGTCCCGGAGCTGCCCCAGCCCTGGGGGTGCCCAGCGGTGCCAGTGCAGGGCATGGCCGGGCTCGGACCCTGCTGCTGGCACAGCCCGGGAGCCGCCGTTCCCTTGCCCACCTGAGCTCATGTTTGTTCATGGTTCTTTCACTACCTTGTTTTTTGGGAAGGTTGCCTTCACGTTTGGGTTTACTTTCTTTCCCCACCTTGTCTCCCAGAAAATATCTGTGGAACAAACTGGCATTTGGTTGGCAACTCCTGCCTGAGGATCACCAACGCCAAGGAGAACTACGATCATGCCAAACTGTCCTGCAGATCCAACGGTGCTTTACTGGCTTCCCTCACCACCCAGAAGAAGGTGGAATTTGTTCTGAAGGAGCTGCAGAAGGTGCAGTCTTCGGTGAGTGCTGCTCTTGTATATCTCTTGCATAATTAAGCTGTGGCTGTGGAGAAGTAAGTCCTTGCTGGGCTATTGTGTGTTCTGTACACAATGGAAATGCCTCTTAACTGAAACCAACGGATTTTCTTTCGAAATTCAGTGTACCCTCTGGGTGCTTCTGAGCTGAAATTGTAGAGAATGTAAATGGGAAAGATAAATATAAACATACCCAGTGCCTCAGAGACATCACTTTCTGTACTGGAATCACACCTGCATTTCCCCGGTGGAATACGGGATGGCAGCAGAACCCCTCCGGTGTCTTGTGCACAATATTTTATAAATAAAAGCCCCTTTGGGGCACTGGAGCTGTTTCATGTAAAGTATTGAAAGTTATTTACTCCACTCAGAAAAGCAGCTGTTTAAAATGTCGCCTTGTCATTCCGCAGAGTTGCTTGGCTTATTTGGAGTTATTTACGTGTGATTTAGTGGCAGATGCTTTTCTGTGAGGTCCAGTGAGAAGTGAATTGGATTTTTTTCCCTCTTCATGCATCAATGAAATAAATACGTATTTTTTCCAGTCCCTGGGAGAATCAGGGAGGTGTTCAGGGCAGGTTGTGTAGGTGGTGCTACAGCCCTGACAAAGAATGATGCTGTGCATCTTTTCTAAAATCCTGGATTAGGCTGGAAAACTGCTGTGGCCTGACAACACATCAGAAGAACAACTCCTGGGTCCCAGAGACCACTGTGGGAAGCATTTTCTACGGGAAAAATGAGGCTGGAGGCAATAGAATTGCTTTTTTTTTCAGGGGAGAACGTGCTTCAGTACTTAAGATTAAAATATTCCTCTGTTAAAAAAAGAACATTCCCAGCTTTGATTCCCTTTGTAATTTTAAAGTGGAAGTTCAACAACTGCAATGTTTTAAAGGGGAGTCAATTTAGCTAAGGAAAGGTAAGGTGCAACTTAAACAAGATCATTCATTAAATCTTTCGTAAAATGACAAAGCCAAGCCTGGGATAGTGTAAAAATACTTGGTTCAGACAGCTACAGGTGTTTCTGGATATTCCAGTTGTTAAGTGTAGAGTGAATTCCTAAAGACATGTGGTAACCCTTCGCTAATAGAGTTTAAATCCTTGCACTGTGTAAAAAAGAATTGTTAATTTATAGGGGTTATTTTCACCTACAGAGTTCTTCGAAAAGTGAGCCTTAAGAGACTGTGAGCCTCTTTTAATGAATATTGGTATAGAATGCTTGTAAGGTGGAAACTGTAACCTCAGCTAGTGCTTGTAGCCTGCAACACTAATTTAGATTTGACCTGCTCCTTTATTTCTAGCCCAAAACGCTGACTCCATGGGTTGGACTGAGGAAAATCAATGTGTCGTATTGGTGCTGGGAAGACATGTCCCCCTTCACCAACACCCTCGTCCAGTGGCTTCCCAATGAACCAAGTGATGCTGGATTTTGTGGATATTTAGCTGAGCCCTCCCAACAGGGATTGAAGGCAGCAACATGTATCAACGAGGTCAATGGCAGTGTCTGTGAAAGACCAGGTAACAACACCTGTCTGGTTGATGTATTTCTCCTAGAGAGTAAAGAGAATGCAGTTTATTACATTTCACACCAGCTGCATCATGACTTTGCCAAAGAAGAGTAATTCCGAATCAGTGTCTTGCGTACCTATTTCATGCAAGAATTGGAAATTTTAAAAATAGCTCAACATTTATGCCATTAACTGTAAAATATTTGAAGTATATAATTTTAATTATTTTTCTCTCAATTGCATACCTACTTGTGACATTTAGGTTAATTATGGTATGGAGCAATCTCCTGTTAAAAAAAAAAAAAGTAACTTTCCAATTGAATTCCCCTTTTTCTACTCCCCTGCTCTGTAGCCAGAGGAGGATTTTATCAAACTTTGAAATTAATTGGCCAGGACACTTTGGAGATATGAGAACTATGAAAAAAAGAAGCTATTTGCTTTTGGGAAAAGTGTTCTAGCTTTGTTGAAACTGCATATCTTTTCAGATGGCTTGGTCTGTTAATTCTCCATTAGAAGCAGATTATTTCTGCATACCAACTAGTGCCTCTTTAAGTGTTAGGAAAGCTGGTTGATTAAATAAAATTTTAAGCACACTACACCAGTTGAAATCATTCTTTGTGGATGTGCTGGATGCAAATCCTGAGTGTAGAACCTAGAATCCAAATTCCGTATGTTTTCATTCGCAGCACTTGAGTTTATGGTTTAACTTAGTTTTTATGGTCTGAGAACAGTCCCTTGAAGCTGATGATAAAGCATTGGCTCACACTACAAACTGCTGAGCTAGTTCTGCTTTCAGGGATTGTTTGATTCTGGAACTTATCAAATCATTTAAAACACATCCCTGTGTGCTCACGTAAAACACGGGGGCTCTTCCCTACGCTTTGCTGGGGAGGGTAAGTAAGGAATACATCAGCAGAGCTGCGGAGGAATACTCACACATGCTCTATTTGAAATCAATCAGAGATGTGTGAGTATTCCACACAATACCCACACTCATAACACCGTTTCCCAGAGCCGCCGGGGCTGCCCCATGCCTGGCAGAGCCCAAGGCCAGGTCGGACCTGGGACGGTGGGAGGCGTCCCTGCCCACGGCCAGGGGTGCGATGAGATGAGCTGGGTGCTCCTTCCAGCACGAGCCATTGCGTGGTGTTTCTCCGAGAGAGCTGACTGCCGTCTCCCCCGCAGCCAACCACAGCGCCAAGCAGTGCCGCACGCCCTGCGCGCTGCGCGCCGCCTGCGGGGACTGCACCAGCGGCAGCTCCGAGTGCATGTGGTGCAGCAACATGAAGCAGTGCGTGGACTCCAACGCCTACGTGGCCTCCTTCCCCTACGGCCAGTGCATGGAGTGGTACACCATGAGCAGCTGTCCGCGTGAGTCATCGCTCCGCCTCGCTCCCGGGGCTGCCGGCCCGCTTGTGYTTTGTGCTGAAAATCAGCAAGGCCCGTGTGGGTTTGCTGCAAATCCCCTGGATGAAAGGAACGAGGCCAGGCTGGATGGGGTTTGGAGGAACTGGCCTGGTAGAAAGATCCCGGCATGGGCTGGAATGACACACAGACTCTAAGGTCCTTTCCAACCCAAACCGTTCCGGGATTGGCTGATTAGGAAGTATTGGCTGCTTACAGACTATAGTAGGAATTTCAAACTCTTTTTAAATGAATGATTTACTTTTTTGGCTCCTTTTAGGTAGATCTGAGCAAACTGCAAAAGCATCACAGCCCTTTGAAATACTGTTTTCTTTTCAAACTGGGGTAAAAGAGCCTAAAAACTTCAAAGAAGTGAAGATGTAGATATTTTATTTACATTGAATTCTTTAGGAGCTGAGCTTGATCAGGGGCATCAAAAGTAGCTCAAAGTGTTGCAAAATGAGAGATGAAGAAAATAAATTTGAGGAACATGAGAGTGTGAACTTCCCATATTGCCAGAGGTCAAAAGTTGGAGGAAGCATCAGGCAGGAGATGAGTAAGCTAAGCTAATGGAAAACAGTGTTTTTCTACTACTTTTTTTTTTTCTTTTTAAAGGCAAATATTGTCATTTTAAACATGAAAATAAATGGTCTGCACATCTTGCAACACCAAGAATCCAGAAAATATTTTTCAAGATTGTCTGAGGAAAGGAATGGAAAAGGTTTTCTATATGTAAAGAGTTTGTCACCCCTGAAATCCAATCCTATTAGAGAAAGGAGGGGCTAAAGGGTGAATTTTTATTCTCCTATTTGTATTCTGTGCTTTTTGATTCAGAGAAATACTTGAAATAATATCATGTGATACTGAAGTATGTGGTAGGAAGTGGCTGAAAATGACTAAACCAGCTGATTTTTAGCCTTTGATCATCTGATCTATTTTAAATCAGTCAGAGATGTTTTGTAGAGGGAGCATTAACCTTTGGTGTTAGAAGGTGCTGTGTAGTGGTTCAAAAAACCTCTGTGTGTGTGTTGTGCTGATTTGTAACTCATTGATTAATGGAACCTTTGTTAATAGTTACCTTCTGTTCTGGAATAGATAGGCTGATGGGAATGAATATGTTACTGTGAGTATGAAAATAAATATTTCTAGATTTGATCAATATTTTGGTGAGATAAAAAGACAAGGTTTTCTGGTTTTTTTTGAAACACAATCTCATATTTTGATTTGTTTTTTTTTATAGCTGAGAACTGCTCAGGCTACTGCACATGTGCTCAGTGCTTGGAGCAGCCTGGCTGTGGATGGTGCACAGAACCCAGCAACACCGGCAAGGGCAAGTGCATGGAAGGCTCCTACCGGGGTCCTGTCAAGATGCCCACCCCGTCCACACCAGGGAAACATAGCTTGGAGCCYGTCCTTAATGTCACTATGTGTCCTGTGGAGAACAACCATAACTGGTCCTTTATTCAGTGTCCAGGTAAATGAGCAGCATTTAATTGTCCGACATTTGGAATAAATGCAAGGGGAGAGAGTTTTAAAAGCTATGGTGATGTCTGTGTTCCCTCCTGTTAATGAAGAGAGGAGAAGAGCTTGGAACATAACTAGGAATTACACTCTTGGTGATTATAGGATCTGTGCAGCTGAGTTGCACAGACTTGCTGCATGAAGATGTTATTTATTACTTGAGAGAAATTTTTCCTTTCCCTACAAAGCTTTACTGAGATTTCAACTTTTATTTGTTTATTCATTTTAAGGCTGTTGGAAACAAAGACAGATCTTTGTTTGAAGGTTGTTTAAAGTATTAATAATGCTTAGGATGATTTTTAGCAAATGTTTTTGACATAAAACCATCACTCCCCTCCCTTTTGCTTGAAAATCCAACTCACCAGCAGCTTCCAGTCCAATGTGCACATAATGTTTTGCAGTTCAGTTTTCTGTGTGTTGCTTTACATTTCAGTTTTTAATGTACGTTTGTCTTTGGGTTCACGTATTGCTAGCAAGAGACAAGAACCTCTTGGGAAGGTGCATGAAATGGTTTCATTTATGYTCTGCACCACACAGACTCCTCAGAGTCTCTGCGAACTATATTTGAGCACCAATACTCAGAATTTTCCCATTTTCTTCAGCCTGTCAGTGTAATGGGCACAGCAAGTGTGTAAACGAGAGCATTTGTGAGAAGTGTGAAAACCTGACGACGGGCAAGCACTGTGAGACGTGTATCTCGGGCTACTACGGGGATCCCACCAACGGGGGCACGTGCCAGCGTAAGTGCTGCCTTAGAGCTTCCTGCACTGAGCTCTTTCATGTTTTTCACTCTTTGCTCATTCCTCTGCTATCTTAACACAAATTATATCCTGATAATTCATGTTTTCTTTACTACAGGCAAGGCTCAATTCTTGTTTCTTCTAATCAAAGGCACTCAAACTGCTTAGTGAAATTACTTTCATTGCCCATAAAAATGATTTTATACCCTCCTTTGTAGACTTGAAATGACCACAGTGAAAAATATCTGTGTTTTAGTGTTTGATGATCCTGTTTTTAAAAGGAACAGTGTTGATCCAAATGTCTTGAACAAATTTCTGCTTATCTCATTTTCACCTTCCATTCTATTTGGTTAATGTGTTGTGTGTTTATAGTTAAAATTGTCTGCCTCACAAAGGTTTGCCATGTTTCTTTGAGGACTTGGCTGGATTTCAGTTGAGGATTAGGAGAACCCTGTTAAAATTGCGTTTCAGTTTATAAAGTGATCTGGGACTCTGGCACAAAGAACTGTTTTTAGCTGTGCAAGATCCAGTTAACAAACTGGAGAAAAGTCTTCCTTGAAAGACCACTGCATTTACTATTGAAAAATATACATGGAAGATTTGGAGTTTTGACCTGCAACTTGTGACAGTRTTTTAAACTTCTGTGAATTTTTCAGTGTTGTGGCATGGAGAGACCAATTGTAAACCAGAATCCAGCTGTGAGAGGTGCAGATGTGCAGATGTAAGGGAAGGTGATTCTTGCTCCTAAGAGATTTAATTATAGAATAATGGAATTGTTTAGGTTGGAAAGGACCTTAAAACTCATCCAATTCCAAACCCCCTGCCATGGGCAGGGACAGCTCCCACTGTCCCGGGGCACTCCCAGCCCCAATGTCCAGCCTGACCTTGGGCACTGCTGGGGATCCAGGGGAAGCCACAGCTTCTCTGGGCACCCTGTGCCAGGGCTTTACACCCTACAGGGAACAATCCTGCCCAATATCCCATCCATCCCTGCCCTGGCCCCTCGTCCTGTCCCTGCAGCCCTTGGCCCCAGTCCCTCTCCAGCTCTCCTGGAGCCCCAAAAGCGGCCCCAAAAGGGGCTCTGAGCTCTCCCTGTGTCCTTCCCTTCYCCAGGGGAACATTCCCAGCTCTCCCAGCCTGGCTCCAGAGCAGAGGGGCTCCAGCCCTGCAGCAGCTCCGGGCCCCTCTGGGCTCTCTCAGCAGCTCCAGCTCCTTCTGCTGTTGGGATTTGGGATCTGGGGCAGCTCTGCAGTGGGGGCTCACCTGAGCACAGGGGCACAGGGGCAGAGTCCCCCCTCCCCTGCTGCCCACACTGGGGAATCAGCCCAGGGCATGGGAGGTGTTCTGGGCTGGGGCAGGTCCAGCTCTCAGCCACCAGAGCCGCCAGGTCCTTCTCCCCAGCGCTGCTCTCCAGCCATTCCCCACCCACCCCGTGTTTGTGCTCTGCCTTGCTCCARCCCAGGTGCAGGATCTTGCCCTTGGCCTTGCTGAACTTCGTGGGGTTCATACTATATCTGCAGCCTGTCCAGGTCCCTCTGGATGCCATCCAGGTACTGTTGGATGCAGTCCCAGTCCCTCTGGACACGCTCCCTTCCCTCCAGCCTGCTGACCTCTCCAGGCAGTTTGTTGTCACCAGCTAACTTGCTTGAGATGCCTCAATCCCACTGCCCCTGTCACCAACAGAGATGTTAAACAGCACTGGCCCTGATGGATTATGTTAATGGAGTATAATGAGGTGGAATGAGACAATTAGATACAGTGATGGAAAAGATAGAATAAAAATAACATTGCTCAGTTTCAGTACTTCAGTGAAATGAATGTGGGTGGTTTGCAGCCATCCTGGAATAATGAAGTGGAGGTGATTAATGCACGGACATTGCAGACTTTTTGTTGCTTCTTCCAAGTGTGGAGACAAYCCAGTAAAAAATACTTCAATATTCGTTTAGTATGTCTGTGGGAGGGAGGGCTGACCTTTTGGATGAAGTTGAGAGTCAGTAACTGGAGCATGGAGTTCTATTTCCTCAAGGAGGAGGAAGGTGCTGATGGCTGAGGCTATGAAGAACTTCCCAGTGGACAGATTTGAGGAAGGGTGTGAAAAACTCACAGGGATACAGCTGCCTCCATTAGAGAAAAGGGATATGGAATTCCAGCAGGTAGCACAGCAACACTGGTACAAGGGGGAAGGTGCATCCCTGACACTTGATTTCACAACTTTATCTGCCAGGTTAAATACCGCTGATACTCATAAACTCATTTGGGTGAAGATACTGAAATGTGGCAATGAATAAATTGAGGCTGAATTGCCTGAGAAAATACAGAATTCTGCTCTGAGCTTTCAGGTTTAATCATTGGATCACAACGTGCCTGTTGGTAGGTGTCACTTTTCTGTGCATGTGGAAATGGAGAGTAGGTTCCTTTGGACTCCTGTGCATAAGGAGTGTTCCAAAATAGTTTGTTGTTGCAATGATGAATGACAGACTGAAATCATCCAGATGCCTGAAGAAGAAATGAGAAAATGTCTTGAGAGATTGTGGAACAGTGTTCATTCCTTATCTGATGGAACAAGTAGCTCATGTCAGAAGTGCTTTGCTCTCAAGTGCTTTGGGCCCAGGTTTTTAATTTGCTGTGATTTAACACTATTTATTGGGTAGGGGAAAGAATGAGGGAAGCAGGAGCCTGGGCAGAAAGACTGTGGTGGACTGGGAGAGGGAAAGCAAGAACAATCATCCTATCTGATGCAGCCAGGCTGCCTATGGGTCATTTTTGCTCAGAGAAAACCTTTCCAGAGGGGAATTCTTCAGATAAGGATTGGCTAATGGGCAGCAGAGCCAGTTGCTGTTTTTTCCCTTCTCTGAGCCATGGTCCCTCCATCCTTTCCCATTAATAATGTGCTGATTTCACTCTTTTTGTGCATTGTGAGAAATACTTCGTGCTGCTTTTTTTTTTAGAGCCCATGGTCACAGCCATGCTGGAGACTGTTTTTCTACATCTGAGACACGAACATCTGTGTGTTTGCACACTTACTGCCTAGTGTGAGTCATGGGATCATGGAGTGGTTTGGGTTGGAAAAGTTCCAATATCCCACCCCATCCCAGCCTCTCCATGTTCAGGGACCCCTCCCACTGTCCCCAATGTCCAGCCTGGTGGGCACTGCCAGGGATCCACAGCTGCTCTGGGCACCCTGAACCAGGGCCTCCCCACCCTCACAAGAAAGAATTTCTTCCCCATATCCCATCTAATCATGCCCTTTTTTATTTCAGTCCCTTCGCTCCTACATATCCCTGTAAAAAAGTCCCAACAYAAGGTTATATGACTTGTTATGAAAATATTTTGTCAAATTGTAGTTATTTTCCCAAAAAAATTGTTTATATCGCATCGTAAGCCCTGGTGTTGGCAGAACTAGGCAGATAATACCTAAATGGCAGGTAAATTGCTCCTCAGAGGTTGTTTTTACAAAGTGTCCACGTACAGGAGTGTTAATCAGGAAGGGCAGGAAATGTAGCACATCAAATGTAAAAATAGCTGCAAGGTGCTTTCTGTGCATTCAGGATTTTTCTGAATTTTTCTGATTAAAGTTTCCCATGAAAATATGCTAGAGGGAGATAAGGAAGTTATTTGCAAGTGAAGGGAAGGGGCTGTTATGCCTGAAATCAGATTGCAGCTGTGGCAGCACTTTTTAACACATCCATGCAGCCTTTGCTGGTGTCCCATGAGTGCTGTGCCATGGGCGTGCCTGTTTCCCCCTCGCAGGCTCGTGGGGGCCCTGCAGGGCAGCTGAAGCATGTGGATGGAAAAATAGTGTTGGACAGGTGGGTGATGGCGTTGCCGTTGGGAAGCTGGACCGTCACAAATGTGGAAAGAGGAGCAACGATCGCCGTGACCATCTCAGAATGAGTCCGTGACCTGTGGTTTGTGGAAAAGGTGGAAGGAGACTCACTGGAGAGTGGTTCATCATCAGACTGCTTCCACGATTTACAGTTGGAATGCTGTTTCAATTTGTTTTGCGTTTCTGTCATCTGAACTCTGGCAGGAAATTGTCATTTGTAGACTCCAGTGGAGTTGCTAGTACTTAGTTTGTTTCTAAAGGTTAAAGTTCTTYGAAAAGCCATGAGAAAATGTTTTTGGGGTTTTTTTGTGCATATTCCAGTTCTTTAATGAATGATCTTCAATTACAGGCTTGTAGGAAAGTGGGTAAATTAATTGATTCTGTTTTAAATAGAGATATTTGAGTGTTCAGCGTTCTTGATATGCATATGGCTGAAGAGCAGAGAGGGAAGAAGAATTAATGTTACTCTTCAAGATGCTGAAATCTGCCTCTAAACAACCTGAGGTTTAAAAGTCAGGAGAAATTTCATGTGTGTTCATATTGAATATTGATCCAACTTCACTTTGCTTCCCTTGTTCAAAGCGTAAGGAAAGAAGTAAAAGACATTCTCAATACGCTAACACCTGTTTTTCTTTAAGTGGCACTAATGAAAAGTGTGTTTCCTTCACAGAATACAATTATTTTGTTGAATTTTCATTCAGTCTCCTTGTTCCCACACTAGGCCTTTTTTCTTCTTATTGTGCTCTGTGTTGCTGCTAGGACACCACTCATCCACATTTGAGCAGCACAATTAAGTGTCCCTGATACAATATGGCTTCCATTACACGCCAACAGAAGGAAGATACCTAAAGGATTCCTAAAATAAGGCCTAAGGCTGGCACAGATACTCAGGGGGTGGGCTTCCTATCTAAGAATCTGCTGGTACAATGACTGGCAGGACTGCTTAATGAGAAGGAATCTGTCTTCGTAACAAGGAGGCTCTGGCCCTTAAAGGGGCTTCTTCCCAGCCAGCTCTGGGCCATTAACAAGGGATGTTCTCTTTGTGTACCTTTTCCCTTATTCTGTACACTCTGCTATGCACAGCTCCAGATGGATGCACCTTCATTGGCAGAACAACTCCTAAAAGGTACCTACATGCCAGGAGAAGCTGTTAAATCTGTTCTTCCAGTGATAGTGAACAAGATATCAAAGTCAGTTGGTTGTGTAGGTTTTGTTCTTATTTGTTGATTTGGTTTTGACGTTTTTTTGCATGTTCCTCCTCGACATCGGCATAGATGAAGGCCTCAAAGTGTGTCAATATGATAACTTAATTGAAATCAGGAGCATTTTGGTGAAAAAAATCTCCTGTATGTCCCCACCATGTTCCCTTGGGTTGGATCTTGAGCAGATTACGGTGTATGAGATGGTCTTTTCTGGGCATTCCCCAAACCCGAAGTAGTTCAGGGCCGTGCAGGTTCACTTCAGCCACAACTCAGTGGCATTCAGTGCAAAGTTATCCTAAGATATTTTGGGGAATGCATGCCAAACTAATTCCAGCATGGACATCATCATCTTAGCACCGGATGTTTTCTGCTGACGCTGTTGATGGTCGTTTCCTCAATCTGATGACATCACGGTTGACATAATTTTCTCAGTAGGACTGATGAGACATTATTTTTCCCAAGGCTTATTTATTTATTTCCAGAAAAAGCCCTTAAAGCCCCACTTTGTTTTATTTTCCAAACTGTTTTCTCAAGAGTTTTGAATTTGGCTGAAATGTGTTAGCAAGCCCAAAATGATTCCAAATATTGTCTTTCCTTCCCAGTTATGGTATCAGCCCTGCTGTCTAGCAACTGGAGAGGAAGTTAAATARATTTTTGAGGCTAAAAAGCACTATCTGATGGTGATTTCCTACAGAACAGCAGTGCTGGGTAGCCTGCGCTCACTCTGTTGTGACGTACGTTCCTATTTTTGTCTGCCTTCTGTAGCACAAAAAAAGCAAAGAGCACCAAACGGGTATTCATCTGCACATTAGTTGTTGATGTGTCTCAGTTTGGCAACTGAAGGACTTTATTGCTCTCAAATTGGTTTCTCTTCTTCATTCAACGTTGTGTCTTCTCCCCCTCTGCTCAACAGCTTGCAAGTGCAATGGCCACGCGTCCGTCTGCAACACAAACACAGGGAAATGCTTCTGCACAACCAAGGGAATCAAAGGAGACGAGTGTCAACTGTGAGCTCATTTCCCTTTGCTATTTCACATCAAAAAGTTGCGCACGTACCACTTTGGACCCCATTCCCCCTGTTTTCTGATGGCTGTGTTTATGAGGTCTCTGCTCATTTCTTCCTCCTGGCAGTTGACAGACTGCACTGGGGGTGCAGCAAGCCGTGTTTCCCCTGGGGAATATCATGAACAGAAAGATTTCCTGAAGAATTCCAATTTTGGAAACATTTCAACTCATGTCATGTCATGCAGAAGGGATGGGTGAAAAAATCCCCACCCCCTGAAACTATCTGCAGAATCACTGGGTGGTTTGTGTTGGAAGGGACCTCAAAGCTCATCCCATTGACCCCATCCATGTTCAGGGACCCCTCCCACTGGCCCAGGCTGCTCCAGCCCCAATGTCCAGCCTGGCCTGGGCACTGCCAGGGGCACCACAGCTGCTCTGGGCACCCTGTGCCAGGGCCTTACACCCTACAGGGAACAATTCCTGCCCAAAATCCCATCCATCCCTGCCCTCTGGCASTGGGATCCATTCCCTGGGTCCTGTCCCTGCAGCCCTTGGCCCCAGTCCCTCTCCAGCTCTCCTGGAGCCCCAAAAGCGGCCCCAAAAGGGGCTCTGAGCTCTCCCTGTGTCCTTCCCCAGGGGAACATTCCCAGCTCTCCCAGCCTGATCCAGAGCAGAGGGGCTCCAGCCCTCAGATCAGCTCTCTGCCCTCCTTTGGACTCACTCCACTTCGCTTTGTCCCTCAATAGTTTCTCTTTAATTGGCAGATCTTACTGTCTGTGCTTTCTGATGTTGTTCTGGGGGCGTGTAAATATATCCAAAAATGAGCCTTTGACATTCAAGCAGTTAATTGGAGCAGTTTCAGAACAACGAATTTGTTGGACGTTTCTCTGTAAAGTAACGGAAATGCTTTTAGTGTAATGTTGTTGGAAATAATTTAATTCCAAATAATTTCATTGCCAGGGTTATTTTTAAAGAGTTGCTCACATGAGTAAACATTTATAGAATAGAACTTGGAATAGCCATAAATGACTGAACTAATCCAGTTCTATGCATTGTGAAGACCTAATAAATACCTTCCAAGTGGATGCAAAGGTTAATATCCAGAATTTTATATTTCATTTTTACTGCATATGAGTTAGGCTTGCAGGGAACATAGAATTTCTTCATCAGCCCCGTATAGCTCAGACATTCATCTTTAATCATTTGCTGTTATCACCACAGATTGTCTTTTCTGATATTTAGTGGCTGGAAATAAATAGAACTGCAAAAAAAACCATCCATTTATTAAAAAAATATATATTCTTTTTAGGTGTGAAGTTGAAAACAGGTATCAGGGAAATCCACTTAAAGGAACGTGTTACTGTGAGTACCCCTGGGATTTTGTTTGAAGATAAAAAATGTGCTCCAAGTTTAAAGTAGCTTATTTAAAACTTGTTTTAGTTGCCTCAGCATGTGTTTAAAATATGGTGGATTAAGGGAAGGACTAAAAAATAGCTCTGAAAACCTTCACTTTTCTCAAATGCATTGTTTAAAGAGAATGAAAATGCTTTTCTTGATAAGGTCTGTGTGATGACTGGATTTCTTGGACAAAGTTTTCAATGTATTTCATGTGACTGAGATGAAATCTGGTCTGTTGGAGAACACTCTATATTCCTAATAGGTAAAAAACAAAGACTGTGTTTGGAATTTTTATTTATGCAAAATACTATTTATTTTGAAATCTGGTTCATTTTATAATGGATTTCAAAATTGCCACATTTCCTCTGAAATGAGCAGTTGGTTTCCCATGCAGTTCCAGGAGATCCTTTGCCAAGATTCAGATTACCTAATGGAAACTTCCCAGCTTCTGTTTACAAATATTAGCAATCAGAAGCCTGGCAGGCGTGGAGAGATGGAATCTTAAATGACATAAAGTCTCAAATAGTGGTTTTGTCCAGCACAGAAATGATCAACTGGCTGGTTTTGGCTAATTGTAATTCTGCTTCTGATGCCAAACAAGGGCATTGGTGGCTTCTCATGACAATCTCTATGTGGAAATGACCAAATTCTTTGCTGATATGACAGGGATGGTTATATGGGCGGAAAGTGGGGAAAGGCAAAGCTTTTCAGCTCTTACAGAAAGAACCTTGTGCTCTCCAGAGTCAGTCTTGCTTGGTTTCATTCTCTGAATATTTCTTTGTCCTTTGTTGTGGGTAGACGTCAGCAGCTTGTCTGGCTTGTGCTAGTCCAGCAAGGGGTCACCAGGAGACAATAAGAGAAAAATAGCACCTGGTGTATGAATTCCTATTTCTTACTGCTGCATGGCTTCAGGAGTATGTCCAAGTTGTAACAGTGTGCTTTAATAAAAGGATGCCGAGGTGGGTGAGTGCATTGCCCCACTGGCTGTCGATTTTACCCAGCCTGGGCTCACGGGAGCCTGGAAGGACACACRGACACGCCCAAGGCTGGTCCTGGAGCAGGATGGCAGCTGGGTTCATCAACAAGCAGCTCCCAGGAAATTCTCCCAGGAAATCCACTGATGTACAGAAAATTATAATGGAGTCGTACAATGTAAACATTGTCCTCTTCCAAGTGGGAATTGCTATTGAATTTTTCTGCTAATCCTTTATATGGTAGAGGTATTGCAGGCTGGGCAAGAAGTTCTTTTGTCATGCTTTTTACAGTCTGTAGGTTGGAATATAGATTAAGATCAGGGCTGGAGGCTGTTGCCTGGCAAGTATAAGTCACCTCTCTTACCCCTCTGGGCTCAGCTCCTGGGATTTTTTGTTCCTTGTGTGCAATCGTATGTAGTTTGGAGCAATGTGTAGCAGTGCCGTGACAGCGTCATGTCCTAGTTGTCCAAGAAACCCTTCAGTGACATTGTGGCTTCCTTTACGGAAGTTATTTTGTTCCAGGAGATGGGATAATTGTCTCCTTGCATTTCTTACAGATACTCTTCTCATTGACTATCAGTTCACCTTCAGCCTTTCCCAGGAGGACGATCGCTATTACACAGCAATCAACTTCGTAGCAACACCCGAAGAGGTAAATCTTTTACTTTCCTTTTCAACTTTGTCTTCTCTAGTCCCTGGAGGTGATGAATTGTTACAGTTCTGTGTGTCTCCAGGTGTACTCTTGTGACAGGGATGGTATGTCCAGCTCCATGGAGCAACCAGAGCTTATTGACCTTGGCTTGGCTCTGCAGTCCCAAAATTCATAAAGAACCACAGTTGATTCTTTCCAGTTGTTTGAACAACTTCTGGGCCATTCCATTTCTTCTTAAATCACAGAACAGTTTGGGTTGGAAGAGACCTTAAAGCTCCTCTCATTCCTGCCATGGCAGGGACACTTCCACTATCCCAGGTTACTCCCAGCCCCATCCAGCCTGGCCTGGGATGCTCTGGGGCATTCAGGTGCAGCCCCAGCTGCTCTGAGCAACCTGTGCCATGGCCTCCCCCCCTCACAGGGACAATTTTTTCCCATCCATCCATCCATCCATCCATCCATCCCTGCCCTCTGGCAGTGGGAAGCCATTCCCTGTGTCCTGGCACTCCAGGCCCTTGTCCAAAGCCTTCTCCAGCTCTCTTGGGACCCCTTTAGGCACTTCTCTTCTGCAGGCTGAGCCATCCCATTTCTTTCAGCCTCTCCAGAGCAGAGATGTTTTGCTTGTTTTCTCCCCATATCTTGTGTCTCATTTCTTCCTATGATATTCTATGCACATGACTTTTAAAATTCTTTATTATGTTTTCCTTGGGGAGGAGAGTACTTCTTTCAGAAAATATATTATATAGCTCTTAGGTTGATGTATTTTCTTTATGTAAGTAAAAAAATTCAAGATAATTTTTTGTAGCAAGGATTTCATAGGAAACAGTTCAGTGAAATTGCTTATCCTGAAAATGGAGTTTCTTTTTTGTTTTCTTTCTTTAGCAAAACAGGGACCTGGACATGTTCATCAATGCATCTAAAAACTTCAACCTCAACATTACTTGGTCCACAAGTTTTACAGGTAAATTGAGGATGATCTAAGTAACTTTGAAGTTTCTTTCATTTATCAATTCCTGACAAATACAAATTTAATTAGGAAAAATATGGTGGGGATTTAGCCAATCTACTTTTTGCATAGCGTTCTTAAAATGTCAGCCTGAAGGGGGAGGTAAAATGTTAAAAAAAAAAACCCCTATGTTTTCAACTTCAGTAGTGTATTTTGTAAACATTAGAAGTGCTAATTTGATTTTTAACAATGCACTATCTTGGCACACAGGGATTTTGATAATGCCGTGTAGCTTAAAATAGTTGGTTTTGAATGGTTATTTTTTTAACATGAGAATTTAGGATGGTTTGCCCTTTTGTTTCTTATCTTAAATACACATTGAAACATCTTTTCTTGCTGCTCTTTACAACAGCTGGCACACAGGCTGGGGAGGAAATTCCAGTTGTTTCCAGAACCAATATAAAAGAATACAAGGACAGTTTCTCCAATGAGAAATTTGATTTCCGCAACAACCCGAACATCACATTCTTTGTTTACGTCAGCAATTTCACCTGGCCTATAAAAATACAGGTAAGCATTGCCAATATATGTAAAATGATTTAAAGGTGCTTTTTTAAATTTCTGTCAAGCACTGTGGCAGCTTGCTGTGCTTGGGGTTGTCCAGGCTGAACCAGTCTTGGTGTAATCCACAGCAGACAGAGTGTGATGCTCTGGATCAGAGGAAGGAGGTGTGAGGTCACTTCTGATGTAGCCTCAGCCCTGTGCATCTGAAGATGTGCTGTGGAATAAAGCAAGACACTCACTCATTAACAGGGCCATGTTTGATGAGCTGTGTGACCTTAAATGTGTAGATACTGATGTTGTAGAAAAAGACTGATAAAACTAAAAATGAAGCCTAGAAAGAGCAGAGAGAGGAAATGCTTTGGTAGCTCTTTAATGTCTTATTCTCAAAAGGCGCAGCTCGAGGGTCACCCCCATTCTTCTGCTGCTGCCTAAGACTGGTGGTACAAGCAGCTCATTCTTTCCCCTCATTCAGAATGGTTGGTTGATGGGCAGTGCCTTGAGTGGTCCTGAAGCTGGTGCACGAGAGCAGTGGATGAAGCTTGGTGGTCATAAAATCGTCCAGAATCGCTCTGTGACTGTGATCACAGACACTCTGCAGCTGCTGGGGCAGCTCATGATTCACAGGAGCCTTGGCCACCTTCTTGTGGTGGGCTGGTCACGTATCAGTTCCCTGTGTGCTCAGCGTGATGGGGATGTTCTTTGAAGGACAAAATCCTTCCAGGTCGGGGACAGAGATCATGGAATTGTTTGGGTTGGAAGAGACCTTGAAGAGCATTTTGTTCCACCTGCTTCCATGGCACTGGCAGCTTTCACTGGCCCAGGCTGCTCCAAGCCCTGTCCAGCCTTGAACACTTACAGGGATGGGGCAGCCACGGATCTCAAATAAAGCTTGGCATATTTGAATTCTGCCTTATTTAAGAAACTTGATCAAATATGGGAACCCAAATTCTTCCATCTTCACTTTTGTTCATCCAATTGTTATGTGAAAGCTGACACTTCACATTAAATGCCCTTAGCATTTCAAATGTATTGGTCCCACAAGCTCAGGTTTTCAACAACAAAGTGCACAGAATAATACTGATCAAGAAAATGAGTTCCATCTGGAGAAATGGTCCTTAAGCTGTAGCAATATTTGTCAAGGTATTTCCTGAATTTTTAGAAAGGTCTTAGGAATACTTGTGAAATGTCTTCATCACCTTCTCCTAAAGACAGTGGGTTTTAATTATATAAGAAACTTTGTCTTGTTGATTGCAGACTGAAGATTTAATAGGCTGGCTTTGGGCTCTTTTTAATATCATTTACAGTTTTGGTAATCAGTTTGCAGATGGAGAGTTTTTACTTTATAAACTGGTAAAGTCTTAGTTTATTTTCAGGTCCTAATTTTTAGATATGGAGGAGTGGACAAGCTGCAATGTAAAAACTTTATGTCATTGGATATTCAAGTAGCAAGTCCTAAACCTCCTCATTTTCCTCTAAGTACTACTTGTCAGAGGGGAAGTAACACCTGTTTACAAAGGTGAGCACTTCTGCAATTATTTATTTAAATATTTGAGTTTCTCTTTTATCAAATTCATAATCACAGGAGTCAGGGAAAAAAAGCCAGTTTCTTATTTTACCTTACAGTTTTTTTTTTTTAATTGATACTTGATTTTCCATAATCAGTGCTGGACTGTACTTGCCCTGATTTATTTCTTTGCAGTTTATTGCTGCAGAACTGTGTGTTAAGACTTTGTAGGTATTTAGGAACAGTGCTGGGTGCTGTCCCTAAGGCTCTCCTGGGTTTACTCTGGTCTCTACCCAACCTGCATTTACAGTGAATTTCTCTTGCCTTTTCCTGTACCAGTGTCATCATTGAGCTTAAACATCCCCTCCATCTTCTTGTTTGGCACTTGAAACTCCTGCATTCCCGATGACCTGGAACAGGTCATATCCTCTCACAGTTTTAGTGTTTGTTTGCTGGCTTAAGCAAGGCAAACCCTCATCATTGCTTCTTGTGAAATAGGTTATTCAGGTTCAGTTGCCTTGTTTGTTTTCCCTCTGTGCTTCTGTGTATTTGTCTCGCTTGTACGGTTTTGGTCATGGAGATCAGGTGTCAGTATTGCTTTGTGCAGAGATATCTCTGAGTTGTCATGAAATCACAAAATGGTTTGGGTTGGAAGGGATCTCAAAGCTCATCTTGTTCCACCCCCGGCCATGGGGACAGCCTGCAGAGACCCCTCCCAGTGTCCCCAATGTCCAGCCTGGCCTGGGACATTCCCAGGGATCCGGGGCAATCTGGCAATTCCAGCCCAGCCCCTCGCCACCCTCCCAGGCAGGAATTCCTTGCCAAGATCCCAGCCCAAGCTCCCCTTTCCCAGTGGGATCCATTCCCTGGGTCCTGTCCCTGCAGCCCTTGGCCCCAGTCCTTCTCCAGCTCTCCTGGAGCCACAAAAGCGGCCCCAAAAGGGGCTCTGAGCTCTCCCTGTGTCCTTCCCTTCTCCAGGGGAACATTCCCAGCTCTCCAGTCTGGCTCCAGAGGAGAAATCCCGATGCCACAGCTCTGTATAAATCTGCTCTGTACAGATCTGTTGCACCTGCCATCCCCAGGAAGGAGATGTCAGCCCTTAGCTGATTGATGTGCGTTTTAATGAACCTTCATCCTTTGGGTCTCCCCCTCTGCCTTGTGTTGCTTTTCTTAAATTCCCGTTGCCAGGATGATTGCATGCAACTTTGGATGGAAAATGCTCATTTTAGTGCTCCAGGGAAGAGCTGTAGTGCTGCATTAAGTGAGATTTCTGATGGATGTGGGAGTTCAGTTGTACTCCCAGTAAATCTTTCAGAACTGGCACTTTCTTGGAATCAAGTGCCTTGTTTCTAAGACCTGTGACTACTAATTTTTTAAGACCTTCTATCCTGAATTGTTCTAAGGGAATAGGCAAAGCTCTATTGTTTCACAGGCATCAGAAAACTTCTCTGCCTCTCCCTGCAGCTCAAGAGTTTGTCACAGAGTTGTTATAGCTCCTGGTTGCCTCCTTTGACCTGGGAAACAGTTCCCACTGGTTTCCCATGATACACTGAAAATGTCTGTAGGGATGTACGTGAGCAAATTCCTTTCACATCTCTTTGGCTTAGAGGAGCTGGCAATGATGTTGGAAATGGGTTTTTTGCTTGGCCAGGAGGTATTTCCTGTCTTTGTATGTCGGTGAAGTTCAGCTGGTGTCAGCTGCATTTCAGAACCAAGGTGGATTTTACACCAGACTGCAGTTCTGCTGAGGAATGGGTCTTGTTTTTTCTTAAGCTGAATGTGGCTATTTAAGTTAGGAAATATTAGCCAGTATTTTACAACCTGCCAGGACCTACATTCCTGAGAAGAGTCCACAATCCTCAGAGCTCTTGCTCTGATCTTTATCATTTATTTCAATGTTTCATTGCTCTTGTGTCATGCAGTAGGCAAATATTGAAACCTTCAGAAATTCTCATTTTTCAAAGTAAAGCCTCTTCATTAAAGCAGTTTTGATTTGAAATTCCTCTTCTAATGCTCTCCCCCATCACATTGCTAGTTTTATTGGCAACATTACCCCCAAAACAGGTGGTCTGCATTAGCAAGAATCTTATCACTTTCAATTAAGCTTTCATTTTACTTGCCATTCTTGTTTAATGTAGTTCAGGAAGCAGTTGTTTTCTTCCAAAGCTAAATGATGGAGGACACTTTGCTACAGCCAAGGAAAGCTTTGGGGTACCCTTAGCTCCTGCCAGGTGAGGAAGAGCCCAAAACAGAGCTGGAAGAACAGCAGATCCCACACATTCCTTTTATTTTAGGCTTTCAGGCTCTTTTGGATGGCATGAATATTGCCAACAGTGCTGCTCTCTGCATTTCCCTGTTTGAGGTTTACAGCCTGACTAAAAGCCTTCAATAATACATGGAAAAAGATGGAACGAAGGAACCATGTGCAGGTAAAAAGCAGGGTCTGAACTGTCTATAATTCCCTGATTCCTCTCTGGTGGAATTAGGTATGATACAGGGCCAGGGCATAAATAACCCCTGATGTCTGTACATGGCCCATGGAGGTTTCCAGCCTTTCTCTAAATTAGGGTCATTCTCAAATCAGAAACCACAGGTTCACTGAATGAGAGCTCTCAGTGAGGGTAAAGAAGAAGTGTCTTTGTTGTTGGCCAAGGAGAATAAAATACATTCAGATAGATGGTGATTGCTTTGATAAAATAATTATGTAGGCTTGAAATCGCAGTGAGGTTGCTGATCTGGACAGCTTTCCTGCCAGGTCCTCATGTGCCTCATGCATCTTTAATGAGGAAGAAATGTAGGTGCAGAGATAAAATTATCCTCGAGTCGCTGGGACCCTTTATTCCAAAAATGTTCTTTTTTTCTGTTGCTTCTGAAACCATCAGAATGCCAAAGTTGTTTGCTAACGATGTCCCTTGCCTTTCTTTAGCTCTAACTGCAGGTGCTTTTGATCCTCTCTCCCCACATCTCTCTCACTGTGTGAGAGCTTTGCTTGGAACCCAACAATGAAGCGTTAATCAGTTTGTTAATCTGATGGAATTTGCTGCTGAATGTAATTACTTTTGGAGACATGCAATTACATGCTCATTTTTCAGAACAGGCAAACTGACATCTTCTACTGTGGGGTGGAATGATTTAAAACAGAACAGCTCAATGGTCCTTTAAAACATGAAACAGCTGCTTGTGCTTTATCTGCTCCTGCCTCCTTATTTTCAGCATCAAGTGATGATATTTTTCTCCTTTTAGAAGTTGTTCCCTTTTGGATTAAGTAATATTTTTGTTAGCACCTTCTTAAATCCTTCAAAGGGAGGGTTTCTTTCAAAGGCAGTTAACCCTTGGCAGGATGTGGTGCCTCTTCAGTCCTTTTTACAGGCAGTCGTAGCTTCAGCAGCCCTGCAGCGTGTTCATGCCAAACTTTTCCCAGGTGGTGTGTCAGGGGGGATTTTATCAGAGATTCATGGAATTGTTTGGGTTGGAAGGGAGAAGAAGGAACACCTCATTCCAT